ACCACCAATGCTCCTGGTCCAGAGGAAGCAGCGGATCATACACCAGCCCAGACTCCCCTCACAGCCACCCATCTACAGGCCAAGCTAGCCAGCCCGAACAGCCAGCCCCGCTGGTGCCACAGCAAGCGCAGTGGCACCAAACATCATGGCCAGCGCAGTGGTACCAGTGAGCACTGTGGCCTCCAGCGCAGCACCCGATGGGGGTTCGCTCGGTGGCCAGGGCCTTGGAAGCACCATCAGCGTCCATCTTTAGACCGCCAGAATAAAGGATGGTTGGACCTGTGTCCTCAGTACCGTACCCGGAGTCCGACTAGGTGGTGGATCCTCTGGTGCCGGACAAACACCCAAAGCACCGCACTAGCTTCGCCCCATCCGGAGGAGCTCATTGCAACCCTGCCCCCCCTCTATACAACAGGAGAACTACCGGGCTCACCAAGATCTCCTAAAAAGTGTGGCAGCAAGCCTCTACCTCCAGGCTGAGGAGATGGAAGGGCCCTCAAACTCCCTGTTCAATGTGCTGTCCTCTTCAGGACCAGGCAGGGTGGCCTGGCTGCTCCATGAAGGGGTGGCAAGAATTTCAACCACCCTGTGGCAAAACACCAGCCTTGTTGGCTCCCATCTCTAAAAAGGCGGAGCACAAGTACTTGGTACGCACGAAGGAACACGAGTATCTGAATACCCACCCGGTGCCCAACTCCTTGGTGGTTGAGTTGGTCAACCAAAGGGAGCGGCAGGGGCAACCAGCCCCGACCCCCAAGAACAAAGACTCTTGGAGGCTGGATACTTTCAGGAGAAAAGTCAAGCTTCCAGCTACTAGTAGCAAACCATCAGGCTCTCCTGGGTCGCTCCGAGTTTAGCCTCTGGGAATCCCTCCCCAAGTTTGAGGACTCCCTCCAGGAGCGCAGTAAGAAAGAGTTTGAGATGCTCATGGAGGAAGGGATGGCGGCCACAAGGGCATCCCTGCAGGCCGCTTTGGATGCAGCAGACATGGCTGCATGGTCCATGGCCTCAGTGGTGTCCATGAGACAGGCGTCATGGCTTCTGCTCTCTGGGCTCTCCAGCAAAGCGCAGCTGTCAGTGCAGGATCTCCCTTTCAACGGGAAGGCTCTGTTTGCTGAGGAAACAGACACAAGGCTGCATGGCATGAAAGACTCCCGCACGACCCTCCAGACCTTGGGCTTCTATGTCCCTCCTCCGGCAAAACCCAAGTTCAAGCCTCAGCAGACTCCAGCCCAGGCCGCCCTCCCAAAGTATGAGGCCGCCCACAAAAAGCAGTGGGACTATAGAAAGAGCCCGCAATGGCAATCCCAGTCAGCCCCCCAGCCTCGGTCTTCTAAGGGAAAGCAGGCAGGCAAAAGGAGCTTTTGACGGGACGCTCGGGGGTACCCTGCCAATTCTCAGCAGGGACCTACCCCCAGTAAAGCTCCTTTTCTCCAATTGGTTGTATGCTTTCCTCCCGGAATGGTCGCGGCTCACCTCAGACCGATGGGTCCTCAACACCATCTCCTGAGGTTACACCCTTCAGTTTACCTCCTCCCCGCCCAACCACCCTCCGCCTCTGTCCATTTCCAGGGGACCCCTTTCACAAGGGCCTGCTCAAGCAGGAGGTGGGGCAGCTCCAGTACCTAGGAGCTATAGAGGTGGTGCCCAAGGAGTTCCTGGGCAGGGGGTATTACTCCTGGTATTTCCTTATCCCAAAGCGGGACTCAGGCCCATCATGGACCTGTGAGGCCTGAACCACTACATGGTAAAACTCAAGTTCCGCATGGTTTCCCTGGCCTCCATGGATCCCAGGGACTGGTACGCTGCCCTCGATCTACAGGACGCGTACTTCCACATCCACATATTCGAGGGGCACAGATGCTTCCTTCGTTTCATGGTGGGACAGATTCACTACCAATTCATGGTCCTACCGTTTGGTCTGTCCACTGCCCCCAGGGTCTTTACAAAAGTGTATGGCGGTGGTAGCAGCCTACCGCAGACGCCAGGGGGTCCAAATATTCCCATATCTGGACGACTGGCTAGTCAAAGGCACCTCCCGGTTGCAGGTGAGGGATCATGTGGCACGCCTGCTGTCCACATGTACTGCCCTGGGCCTGTTGATAAACAATACCAAGTCCATGTTAGTCCAGATCCAACGCACAGAGTTTATTGGGGCGCTACTGGATGCAATGTCGGCCAGGGCCTCTCTCCCACCAGACAGGTTTGAGACCCTGAAAGGGCTCATCGACTTGGTCACAAGGTTCCCAGTGACGACAGCCAGGGTTTGCCTGCAACTGCTGGGTCACATGTCTGCGTGCACATATGTGATCCGTCACACCAGACTCAGAATGAGGCCCCTCCAGCTCTGGCTGGCCTTGCAGTTCTCCCAGGCCACCTACAGAATGGACAAAGTCCTCACTGTGCCGAACTCGGTGATCACCTCCCTGCAGTGGTGGTCCATCACAAACAACATGCTCCAAGGGATCCCATTCAGGGACAGGGCCCTGTCGTTAGAGCTGGTGTCCGACGAATCGGACCTGGGGTGGGGAGCCCATGTGGGGAACTTTCAAACCCCAGGCCTGTGGTCTCTACAAGACCTACCCCTTCATGTAAATGTCAAGGAACTCAGGGCAATGTGACTGGTGTGTATGGCCTTCTGTTCGCATCTGGAGAGTTGTCATGGACAACACAGCCGCGATGTTCTATATCAAGTGGCAAGGTGGGGCCTGATCCTCTGCCCTCTGCCACGAAGCACTTAGTCTGTGGAACTTCTGTATATCCCACGACATCTACCTAAAAGCCTTCCACCTTTCAGGCGCCCGGCATGTGAGGGTGGATCGCTTGAGCAGGGATTTTTCCTCTCAGCATGAGTGGTCTCTACACCCAGAAGTGGCTCACCAGCTCTTCCAAAGGTGGGGTACTCCCCAGGTGGACCTATTTGCAACTGGGGAGAACCAACAATGCCCCTGCTCCGGGGGAGGCCTAGGGAGGGGCGCTATATCCGATGCCTTTCCCCTGTCCTGGTAAGGCCAGCTCTTCTACGCCGCTCCCCTGTTCCTTCTGATCAGCAGGGCCCTGGAGAAAATAAAGACGGACAAAGCCAGGGTCCTCCTCATTGCCAAGGCGTTGCCCCAGCAGCACTGGTACGAGACTCTCTCGGGGATGGTGATAGCCATGGCAGTTGCTGCTCTGCTCTCTCAGGACCAGGGCTGCCTCCTCCATCCAAACCTAGAAACGCTTCACCTCACGGCATGGCTGCTCAGTGCCTAGGTGTTGAGGAAAGGACATGCTCGGAACAGGTTCAGCGCGTCCTCCTCAAAAGTGGACGGCCCTCCACTGTCCGCTCCTATGTGGTGATGTGGTCTCGGTTTTCGAGGTGGGCGGCAGGCCAGGGTGTTTCCCCAACGGCTGCCCCGATCCAGCTTATCCTTGATTACCTCCTCCACCTGAGGACACAGGGACTGGCGCCCTTGTCAGTCAGGAGGCACTTAGTGGCCATATCGGCCTTTCATCCCCCGGTGCAAGGGCACACGGTGTTTTCCCATGCTATGACTGGCCAGTTACTTAAGGGTTTGGACCGTCTCTACCCATATTCCAAGCCCCTGGTTCCACAGTGGGACCTAAACCTGGTGCTGGCTCGTCTCACGGGGGCCCTGTTTGAACCATTGGCCACGTGTTCCTGGTCTCACCTCTCATGGAAGGTGGCCTTCCTGGTAGCTATCACGTTGGCCAGGTGGGTCTCGGAGCTCAGGGCCCTAACCTCCGAACCGCCGTATACGGTTTTTCATAAGGACAAGGTCCAGTTTCTCCTACACCCCGCATTCCTCCCGAAGGTGGTCTCCACCTACCACATGGGTCGGGACATTTTTCTGCCAGTCCTCTGCCCCAAGCCTCACACAACTAGTGAGGAACGCCGTCTCCACACGCTTGATGTGAGGCGAGCTCTGGCTTTCTACCTCAAGCGGACCAAGCCGTTCAGAAAGTCTTCGCAACTGTTCGTCATCCCAGCTGAGCCTGCAAAGGGTCAGCCAATTTCCATTCTGCGGCTTTCTAAGCGGATCACTTCGTGCATCCGTTCCTGTTATGAGCTGGCGGGGGTTCCCCCACCGCTCATTGTGAGGGCACACTAGACTTGGTCGCAGGCCTCGTCGGCTGCCTTCGTGGCCGCGTCCCCATCCAGGACATTTGTAGGGCCGCCACATGGTCTTTGGTTCACACGTTCACCTCTCACTATGCGATCGTCTCCCAGGCCAGGGATGATGCCGGGTTCGGCAGGGCGGTACTCCGCCCTGAGAACTTGTGAACTCCTATCCATCTCCAACAGATATAGCTTGGAATCACTTACTGTGGAATACACATGAGCAAACACTCGAAGAAGAAAAGACAGTTACCTTTTCCGTAACTGGTGTTCTTCAAGATGTGTTGCTCATGTCTATTCCACATCCCATCCTCCTTCCCCTCTTTCAGAGTTGTCTGGCAAGAAGGAACTGAGGGTGGGGGGAGCACAGCCCCCCTTCTACTGCGCCAGGCAGGGTCCCCTGGGGGGCACATCCACCTACAGGTACTGCTAGGGAAAAAACTTCCAGCACTGGTGCACGTGGCAAGCACGCACACCTATTGTGGAATAGACATGAGCAACACATCTCAAAGTACACCAGTTACGGAAAAGGTAACTGTCTTTTCTCTGAAAAAAACAAGTTCTTGAGTTAAAATGTAGCATATTGTACTCAAATGGATTAATATTGGTGCTAATATCTCTCCACTATAAGAGATACTTTAGTTGTCAGTGCTGTATCTATGTGTATGGGCATGAAGTGGCCTATTAGATATTGAGAAAAGGAGAAACATTAGGGAATAAGGAGATATTGACAGTAATTTAAAGAGAAATACTGATGGTGCTACTGTCTAACAATTAAAATTTTCACATATTTTGCTGATGTATAGTTAGGATAAATACATATTCTTGAACTTTATAAAAAGCATTATCAGTTTCCTGAGGTGCCATTGGTAGTGTTTTCACAGGGTTAGGTTCCTTCCTTCTTTCTCCTTCCTAGCATTCTTTTCATCAGATGATAGAATGCTACCATAGGTATGAATATACAAGGGAGGACTACCAACAGGACACAGATGGCCAGTATCCAAGCTGGATAGTCTTTCTCCTCCTTCATGGGAAAATCTTTCTATAGAGATAAAAATAAATATAAACAGTAACTGAAATATATAATGACTTATGGCATCAATTGACATACATGGAAAAATAAGAATAAAAAAAGAAGAAAAATTATGCTAGCAATAAAAACAGGGGACCAGTGACACTGTTACTGTACCTGTTCTTCCAAATTGAAACATGAAGGGGTTTTAATGTATACATTTTACTGTAAACAATTATTTAAACATACAGATTGGCATACATGAAAAAAACAGTATAGAATAACTTTTTAAATCTCAGATAAAACCAATTTTAAAAACAGAAAAATTAAGTTTATATTGAACTTAATCCCATAATTTTTTAACTTCATAAATCAGAAGAACTGATTTTTTTTCAATTTTGGCATTTTCAGTTGCAATTTTAGGTCACAATTTGTCCTTGGCTCTTGTGTGGGTTCAAGAACCATTCCATCAATTTTGCATGAGGCTTACAAGAATCAAGCAGCAGGTCCAATGCTACCAGGGAGACAAAAGGGACATTTCCCTCCCCACCCCAAATGATCTTCAAAGAGTTACAAATTATTGTCAGAAAGGCCACAATATGTACAGAGTTATTCAGTATGAAGCAGTGGAATAGCAGCAGATTGGAGAGTCTTCATCCTTTATATAAATTATAAATCACAGCAAAATACTGACACAGTAGCCAAATGTTGCTTTTTGAAACTCTCAGAATCCAAGATTTTCCAAGGGTCCAACTGTCCCTTGGATTCCTGGAAGGTTTTGGGGTTTTTTTTGTTTTTTTTTAAATAGCTACATCCAGGGATCCCAAAATGCTCATTCTCTCCCCTGCACTCCCCCATAATGGAACCCTAGAACTGGCCCTGCCAAGCAGTGTTCCTTCAGTGTGCCCCTACTGAGAAATATCTTCTCAAATGGGACAAAGAAGAAGCAGGGCCAAAGCCCTGCCCACTACTCACAACAGTTTACAGGGTGGATGAGACAAACAGAAGGCAGCAGGATGCTCTGTGTTAAAGAACAGTGTTATCTGTCATGTCTCTCTGTAGACTAGGGAGCTCAGGGAAGCACAGTCCTTCTAGGAAGTACTGCTGAGGTAATATGAGTCTATACTACCCCCTTTCTAAGGCCTTGTCAGGATTGGAGAACTAAGTTGATTGTAAATGAACCAACTGTTTTGGACCTATTGTAACACAAATGATTCAGTGTGTCCATACAATCCGTGCTGAATTTTGTTAAAAGACAGCTTCACTCTTGCTCTTTTTCCACACTTGCGCTCAGTTGCAATGTCCTCTCGGTAACTATCTCACAATACCTGCTACAGCTGTAGATGCTCTGCAGTCGGAAGGATTTTCTGCAGGCAGTGTGGGATACATCTTGAAGCATATGGGACCCCTTGTGGAAGAAGTTATCAAACTTTCACTATCTCTTGGGAAACTCCCATAATTCTCATGGGGGTATCCCAGAACTCGCTTGATGTCAGCACAGTTACTAGGCTGTTTTGCAATATGGAGCCCAGGCGGAATGTTCTGTTGTCTTCTTTGCCAAGGAAGAAACATTTGTGCTGGAGCTTTTGAGGCATCTTCAGTGAGGATGTTGTGAGTATTCTGGGGATTCCTGTAGAGAGTCTTTGACCAATATAAACAGTGCATGCACTTCAATGGGGAAGGTTCTTGCAAGCAGTGCCTTCATGGCTGCAAGCCATACAGCGAGATGCAGTGTACATTGTGGAATCCTTTTAGAACTAGACCACAGCTACAGTTTGGTGGGACCACATAGTTCTCAAGACCTGGGGTAATTGGCAATGGCTGCAGCACTTCATTTTGAGGAAAGTGACATTCCTGGAATGCTTTCCTGTGCTGGTCCCAACCCTGCAGTGGCAGGCAGATATCTAGGTTAAGTGTTATCTACCCTCTTTTGAACACAGAAAAGTGAATGGCAGTTGCTCTGTGGAAGCTGGCCATACCAGATTGCTATTGGTCAGTGGAGAAGTATCATAAAGTTAGGAAGGCAGTGTGGCTTAGTGGACAGAGCACTGCACAGGGATTTAGAAGACCTGGGTTTTAGTCCTTGTTCTTCTGCTGGGTAATAGGCAAGTCACAGCCCTTCTGTGTTTCTCAGTTGTCCCAGCTCTAAAATGGGGATAACAATACTGATATCCTTTATAAAGTGCTTTGAGACCTACTGATGAAAAATACTATGTTCAAGATATGTAGTATTATTTAATCCACCATGGAGATGTGCAAAGACAACCATCATGTTTTTCAGTGTCATGTTATCAAGGTGGCCAATGGTCCATTACTTAATGAGGGACTAGAGCAGTTAGTCTTCCCAAATCATACCAGAACAACTGTGTATCCAGGTGCCCATTCTGTGTCTTCCACGTCAAGCCAAAGACTACATTAAGAGATGGAGTATAGCTATTTGATGATGTGGACCTTAGTAGATCCAAGGACCTCTAGATCAGATGGCCTAGAAAAATGTATGATGTGAGAATTTCTAAGGATTTAGTACTCTTTTAGAGAGAGTCAAATAGAACTCTTCGTAACAATCTTGGGACTAATTGTGATACTGGGGGCCCTGCATAGCCACTACTACCCTGCATTATGGGACCTTATACCGAAAATGTGCACAAAGCAAATAAGAAGATTCAACTGAACAGATGCTGGGTGTAAACTGAGTGTGTTTTGGGGGGATGGTAGGCCAGCTGGAGATGACTTTTGACTTGCAATTACTGTTTTGCTTATTTGTTTTCTCCCTAATTTCTGCATTTTGCACAATGTATGTGAAAATAAAGGTATTTAAAAAGAATGAAATGTGCACGCCTCCACTTTTGCACAAATGGACCTGAGAGTAGAGCTGGACAAATAATTGATTTTCAGTTCAGCCAGCAAACTGAAAAATCAGAAGTAGTATTTAGTTTGGTTCTGAAAATGTTTGGAATTTGTTTTGGAAAAGTCCAGTCAGCTTCAGAAATGTGTGTGTGTTCCCCTCATCACCTTTAGGCCAGTTGTTATGGCACTTGCCTTGGGATATGGGAGACCCAGCTTTTGAGTCCCTCTGCTGAAGAAGGAACATTAACTCACTGCTCTCCCCTCTGAAGTGAGCATCATAACCACCAGGCTATCGACTCTTTGCGGTTGGATTGCTCTCAGTTGCTACTGTTGAAGCTGTTCCATATAAATATTTAGTACTCACTGGGCCAAAACGAAAGACAAATTGACTTTTTAGCCTGGTGATTAGGGAGGTACGAGATATGGATTCAAATGTCTCCTCTGAACCAGGAAGACAGAAGATTCGAATTACATCTCCTACCTCCCAGGTGAATGCCTTAATTTGGAAGCATCCGGAGATAGGAGAAGAGTGTAACAATGTTTTTTGAAAATAAATGGATTAAAAATATTGGACAACATACATATTTAGGATTCCAGGCTCCATAGCTTGGTTGATTCTGGGTCTGAAGGGTAACAAAGGCAATAAAGACTGTAAGCATTAGCAGAGGGCTAATAATTCTCCACGACACCTGCCAGTAGAAGTTTGGTTGTCGTCCTGTCATCCATTTCACATCATCACTGAACCTATGAGCCAAATAATGTTTACGATTATTTTTAGATTTATACAATTTTTTTACATTTTTATTGAGAAGTATATTATATATTCTTATGTCCTTACCCTGGATTTTAATTAATAACAAAAACCTTTAAGTTACAAGTAAGAGGCCAGATCCTCAGCTTGTGATTTCCATACTTTTTAATGCTTGAATTGTTCTATAAATCTGCTCAGTGGTATGTGTGCACATGTATTGCTCTTAGAAACCTTAAACCAGATGCTCAGCTGGATGCAACTGTATTTACATCATCTGAGGATTAACCCTTCCCCCCCCCAACTAATACAGCACACACACATCTTAAAAAGAAATTATCAGTGACCATCCCTTTATCTGCGCCCCCAAATTGGTATTACGATGGCAGTGTCTCAGCCAGCTTCCACTGAAATCAGGGTCTAATCTTTGATATTACTGGGATCTGGACTGAACTTTAATATGCATTTTAAACATGATAAATATGAATAATATAACTGCATGTATCATTGTGTATTATCAAGTTTGATGGTTTTTTATTACATGAACAGTTTGTTTTAATGTATAGGACAGATTTATAATCTGGAGTGAGAATTATGTTTATTCTATGTTCAAACAGTGGTTTTGTCTCCAATTATATTAGTCTAATTAGAGAAAGTTGGAATTATTTTGTTCATTAGAAAGTCTGTTTGGATGTCTTTATACTCTATGGGTTCTGGGGGACAGATTAGACAGACAGATTGATGAAATTCAAATACTATTGAATCAAATGTATTTTGTGGATAGTATTATGTAAGGCCAGACTTTTTCCAACTCTACATTAAAATCTCTAAATATTTAATACAGATAGCTTAGCGGAAGCGATCTACTGAATGCTTAAGGTCGTTTAGACTTTGTAGTGATTGTGAGTGTTGATGCAGGGGGCACAGTTAAGTTTGCTTGGGTATCAGTCAGTGGCTTTTTTTTTTTCTTCCTACTTTAATTGTGTGCTTGAGGGATGGGAAGGTGTTTGGTGAGAGAGATCTGATTATTAAGGTTGGTGTTAAATTATTTAGGAAACCTTACCTTTTGATTTACAATTTTTAATTTTTAAATTGATTACAAAATATTTAAAGGTATGTCTTCTCATGAATTAACTTAGCAGCTTCTGTAGTAGTTGAACAACTTTTTATTTAAATTCCTATTTTAAAAATGTTTTAAGTGAAGCTTCTGTTAAAATTTAAATGGGAAGTGATACCCATAATGCTTGCAAAACCTCTGTTCTATATAGATGCTATATGCCCTATATTTAAGGCCACATTTTATTCATGGGTATTTTCAGTAAAAGTCATGGACAGGTCACGGGCAGTAAACAAAAATTCACCACCCATGACCTGTCCATGATTTGTACTGTATACCCCTGACTAAATCTTGAGGGGCTGGCAGCCCAGGGGCTGCCTCAGATGCTTGGGGGGGGTGCGGGGTACAGGTGCTTGGGGGATGCAGCCAGGGAGGTGCCGTGGGTGCTCAGAGGGGGAGCGGCCTGGGAGGTGCCGTGGATGCGAAGGGGATGGGGTTGGCAGGCTCAACGCTGCTCCCCAGAAGTGGTGATATGTCTGTCACTCAGCTCCTAGCTCCGCATGCTGTCCAGACCCAAACGCCACCTCCGCAGCTCCCATTGTCCAGGAACCATGGCCAATGGGAGCTGCAAGGGTAGTGCCTGCAGGTGGAGGCAGCATACAGAGTTAGGAGCTGAGGGAGAGACATCTTGCTGCTTCTGGGGAGCCCCCCCCCCAAGGTAAGCAACACCCAGAGCCCTCACCCCCTCCTGCACCCCAACCCCCCCCTACATCTAAACTCCTGCTGCTGCTGGGGGGGGGTGAGGGGGTTCTGGCCTGAGACTGCCCCAGCAGACCCCAGGCCAGCTGCACTGGCCACTGCAGAAGTCCCAGAGAGTCACAGAATCAGTGACTTCTGTGACCTCCCTGACAGATTCGCAGCCTTACAGATATTCCATAAAAAACTGATAAATGAATAAGAAGTCGGTAAAGTGAGATACTCAAAAATAAAAATAAAGTGTCAAGATTAAGGTTGTCCATTCAACCTTATGAACAACCACCATCATCTGTGATGATGCTTCTCTTAATGATTGAGGAAGAGTAGTAGTTTTAATCAGACTATTAACAAATTAAATAATTTTTAAACAAAACAAGAATAATTTGTAAAGTTACTAGGCTCCGCTTCTGGCGCTTCATTTCTTGGATTCTCTGATTTCCTCAGCTGCTAAGATATCCAAGGACTAAATCTGGGGGTTATGATATCTGACAATTCCATAGTAGCCTTTGCAGAATTCTATTCCTTGGTAAAAGGCAAGGAGAAAGTATAACCATTATAAATATAGACAATTATAAAGAAAGAGGTAAGCACATAAGTTTTAGTCAAAGGATTAATTTCAGGCCATAAGGGAATTTATTTATATTTATTAATTTAATTTATATATATTGTGACAAAGCTCTATCCTTGCCTCCATGGGTCCCATGTTTCCTGGCGGATTTCGCTAGCCTCAGAGGCTCACTGTGATCCTCCACGTAACCCTTCTCTCTCTAGAGACAAGGGTCACAGTCTACTGAGTCATTTTCATCATAAGCCAGCGAGGGAGGTGAGGAGAACTTATCCTTCCTTGCACAGTCTCCGTTATCTCCCAGTCTCAGTGATTAATCAGGGGGCAAAGGTCGGGGGGGAGCCTAGGCCCACCCTCTACTCCGGGCTCCAGCCCAGGGACTCTAATAGTATCAGCTATGGTAGCTGACCCTTTAGAAACATGACATGTACAATTCCCTGGGCTACTTCCCCCACAGCAGCCCTCACTTCCTCAAGCTCCACTTCACCCTTACCCCAGGGCCTCCTTCCTTGTGCCCGATATGGTGTGTACTACTCAACCTCTCCAACAGCACAACTTTCTCCCACAGCTCCTGACATGCATATCCACCTGACTAACTGGGAGGCTTTTAACTAGTTTCAGCCAGCCCCTGATTGGCTTCAGGTGTCCCAAGCAGCCTAGCCTTCTCCCTGCCTTCTGGAAAGTTCTTAATTGGCCCCAGGTGTCTTAATTGACCTGGAGCAGCTGCCATTTCACTTATCCTGGTACCAGGGATTTGTTTAGCCTGGAGCTAATGTATCTATCTCCCACTACTTTTCCATAGCCATCTGGCCTTGTCCAGTCACAATATATAAATTTTATATAAAAAAACATGCCAAAAGAAAAATAAATATCTTGATATGAAGATTTATTTCCTGATAGATGAAGAAATTTAGACAGACAGTCAGTGAGTAGAGATTTTAAAGGGCATATCAGGAAGAACAAATAATAGATAAGTTTGCTTGTTGCTTGAAGGAAGTTGTGAAGAGAAGAGTGTGGGAAAAGGATTCCTTTCATCCCAGGTACTTTGGGAGAGTCCACATGTGCAGCCCGTCTGGGTGTTACACTGAGGAGAGTATTTGGTGCTTACTGTAAAGTTCTGAAAATGTTACAATAAATGGAAAGATACAATAATACATTAAAAACAAACCCACGTATAACAGCATGAAGGTTCTTTTAAGGTTGGGTTAACAGGGTACCACTCCAGCTGTACGAACTGTGAGATGGCTAAAGTAGGTGCTGGCCCCCATTCCAGCTGCTAGCTATCTTCAGCGGCCAGATCCGTGTGGGTCTCCTGCAGGAAAACTACTGGGTACCTTCCCTCCTGAAGGAAGGAGAGCACCTGGCACCTGCGGAGACCCAGCCTACAGCATTCAACGTTGCAAAGATGATGGGTGCCATGAGGAGGGCTGGGGGGGGATCTGCATCAGCAGGGATGCTCACAGCCCCCATTGGGCCGCACAGCAAACCATAACCTACCTCATAGTCGAGCAAGGAGTCACGGAAGCCATGGACCCACTGGTAGGCTGCAGGGGCCTGCTTCTCAGTCCTTTTACCCTCCCCCATGAGGGCCCTCAGGGCCCAGAGGATTTGATGAAAATCCCTCCCAATCACTGGAGAGCAAGCTGCACTTGTTGCAGGAGCCATGGACATCTTCCAGAAACTCCCACAGCTCCTCTCGCAGCATATGGGGGGGGGTGGTCATCACTGGCCCCCAGCCTTCCTCCAGAGGGGCTCCCGGCACAGCCCTGTGGCCCACTGAGATGGGCAGACATAGGGAGGACCCCCCCCACACATGGCCCCTGATAGGCTGGCGCTACGTGGTCCACCTCAGACCCCAGCTCAATGGGGTGCAGTGGAGGGAAGATAGCAGCCCTTAGTGGGTTGGGACAGGAAAACACAAAGGCCGCTCCCTGGGGATCATCCTCTGGCAAAGGGAAGGAGACAGCCCTAGGGGCGGCAATAGCATTGCAGGAGGTGGAGGGGATAGGGACAGGGCAGGGGTCAGGAACAGGGCTGGAGAGAAGGGCAGAGACAGGATCCTGGGCCCCAGTAGCCTGGTCACTGGGCAGTGTCCCCTCTTGGTCTGGCTCAGGGGTCTGGGGGGTGGGAAGGAGGTCCCCAGTGATGCTGGGCTCAGGCTCTATGGCAGGTGTGACAGCCATGGCATCAGGAGGTGGACAATCTTTAGAGTGGGGAAGGAACTCTGGCAGGCCCCACCAAACTCTAGGGTACAGATGTGAGGACCTGCATGAAATACACCCCCCTCCCCAGCCTATTCTTACCAGCTTAGGTTAAAAACTTTCCCTGTTCTTTGTTTAAAACGCTTGGTGGTGACAGCATACGGTTCAAGGACAAGGCAAAGTTTGTACCTTGGGAAAGATACCACTTGGAGATGTCTTCCCCCCAAAATATCCCCTCAAGCCCTACACCCCCTTTTCTGGGGAAGGCTTGATAAGAATCCTCACCAATTTGTACAGGTGAGCACAGACCCAAACCCTTGGATCTTAAGAACAATGAAAAATCAGATTGTTAAAAGAAGAATTTTAATTAAATAAAAGGTAAAAGAATCACCTCTGTAAAATCAGGATAGAAAATACTTTACAGGGTATTCAGATTCAAAAGATAGAGGATCTCCCTCTAGGCAAAACCTTAAAGTTACAGAAAACAGGAATAAACCTCCCTCTTAACAGGGAAAATTCACATAAAACAAAAAAACTAATCTGCCTTGCCTGGCTTACCTATACTGGTTGCAATATTGGAGACTTGGATTACGATGCGTTGGAGAAGATGGATTTCTGTCTGGCCTCTCTCAGTCCCAAGAGAGAACCACCATGTAAACAAAGAGCACAAACAAAAGTCCCTCTCTCCCCCCACCCCCCAAGATTTGAAAGTATCTTGTCCCCTTATTGGTCCTTTGGGTCAGGTGCCAGCCAGGTTAGCTGAGCTTCTTAATCCTTGACAGGTAACAGGATGTTGCCTCTGGCCAGGAGGAATTTTATAGCACTGTATACAGAAAGGTGTTTACCCTTCCCTTTATATTTATGACAGGGCCCCTGCCAGAGAAGGAGGTCGGTTGCCCCGCACCAACGAGGGATGCCCCGGTGACTTGGGTCCCGGCCGCGGGGCACTGGCTGTCGCCTCAGTAGGCTCGGCAGCAGGGTACTGCCTGTGGCCAGGCAGATGGAACAATCTGGGGGGACCCTCGGAGGAGGGAGCGGAAGCAGCAGTTAGGGGGTGGGAGCATGGGGACAGGGGGGCTGGGGTGAGGTTGCCCAGACTGAGGCCTGTTGGCAGAGGGTCAAACTCCCCCTGGGTGACCAGGGTCTCGATCTCCTTGTAGATAGAAGGGAGATCACCTTCCACCACTTCGGGGCTCTCCCCAACAGCACCTGAAGTGAAGGTCGCCTCAGGGCTCGCAGGAGGTTCAGATGTTAAGGGGGCAGGAGGGGCTCCATCGGGGGCCTCTGTGGGAAGGGACTCCAGTGCAGGGGGGGGGCACTTCTCTCCAGTGCTGCCACGTCTTCCCCAGCCAGCACCAGTGGATGGAACACACCTGTGGTTAAGGTGGAAGGCTCGGCAGCGGTGCCCTGCTTCCTGGTCTTCCGGAGGGCCTCTGAATCAGATGGAAGGAGCAGAGCTCAAGCCTTCCACTTGCCCCGCTTCCCCTGAACTAGGGCCCAGCCCTCCATGGCATCATCTGGGGACTAGCTAACAGGGATTGGGTCTAGGGGTAGGGGCGATCGATCAGGGACTTGGGGAGGTAATGGTGGGCAGTATGAGGGAGGGAAGATTGCCCCTGGGGTGGGCCCTCTCATATCCAGGGGTATCCCCACCACACCCTCCTCCCTACCAGATTGCAGGCAGTGGAGGCAGGGCTCTCCTGCTTGTCTGGGCTTACTGGGGGAGGTACCCCTTGGGCCTGAGCGGGAGCAGTGGTGGGCTGGAAAGGAGGAGGGGTGGCACCAGGCAATGACAGGGATGGTGCCCTGCTGGGGCTCTGGGGTCCCGGCTGCTCCTCCGTGCCAGGCCAAGGGGCAGTCCCTCCGGATGTGTCCCATTGTTCAGTAGAGGTAGCACCGGGCCTCCCCCATGGAATAATCTACCCAGTAGCGGGTCCCCGTGAGGCACTGCCAGCTGCAGTTGAAGCTGCACCTGCCAGTGGAACGAGAGGACATGACAGAGGGCAGAGTCTTTGCAGCCCAGTGGGAGAGGGCTAATCATGGATATGGGTTTCCCCAGAGTAGAGAGGATGGGTAACAGGACAGCATTAGGAAGGAAGGGAGGGACGGAGGTCAGGACTACTCAGACACCCAGGTCCTCCAGCAGGTCCAGGGGGATGAACATGGCCCCCACCACCAGGCCCTTCTCCACTGCCTCCTAGGCGGCAGCCTCCAATGCTAGGAAGAACACGACCTTTCCATACATCTTGGAGGCTGCTACAATGGCTGTGGGCCCCACCACCCTCACCAACGCCTACACGTAGGTCTCCACATGAGGTAAGGCAGGCACCAGGAGGCAATGAGTTCCAAGAGATCCTGGACCAGATACAGGTTGTCGAAGATGGTGCAGTCCGGGACGGTGTAGGTCTGGTCTGGGTGGATCACATCCGCCAGCACGGACCCCAGCCGCAGCGAGATGGCTTTCACTATGACCTTGTAGTCCATGCAGAGGAGTGAGACGGGATGCCAATTTTGTAAATCGCGGAGGCTGTGACTGGGTCTGGGCCGAGGACGTCCCAGAACACGCGGTAGAACTCCACGGTCAGCCTGTCCATGCCTGGAGATTTATCGGTGGGCGTGCGGCGGACGGCTTCAGAGACCTCTACCAGAGTGAGAGGCAGCTCTAGCTGGTCTTGGTCGCCCGCACTGACTATCAGAAGTTCGTCCCAGAGCACTCTGCAAGCGTTAGGATTGGTCAGATCCGGGGAGAAGAGGCCTGCGTAGAAGTCATGGGCACTCCCACACATCTCCACCGGATCTGTGAGGGGGGGTGCCGTCTTCTGCTAGAAGGCAGGTGACATGTTCCTTGGCCCCCCCCTCGTTTTCTTCAGGGCGTAGAAGAAACGGGAGCCGCGATCCATCTCCCGAAGGAGGCGGATGCGGGATCGAACAAAGGCACCTTAGGCCTGATGGTCCTCGAGGGCCCAGAGCTCCTCCCGCTTCTCCTGGCATGCCCCACAGAGGGATGGAACCTCGGGGCTGGTGACCAGAAGCCTCTCTAGCTCTAAGACCTCCTGTTCCAGCTGCCCTATTGCTGCATCCCTCCATCGGCTGGCGCCCCGGGTGTAGTCACAGCAGAAGAGCCAGACTCGCACCTTCCCCAGGTCCCACCACAGCCGTGCCAAGGAAGAGGCACACTGCTGCTCTTGCCAGGCCAGCCAGAACTCCCAGAAGGACGCCACGAAGCCCACATCCTCCAACAAGCTGTTGTTAAAATGCCAATAGGCCAGCCCTGGCCTCTCTGCACAGAGAGAGGCTGTCACAGTGGCTAAATGATGATCGGAGAAAGGGGCCGACCGGATGCTGGAGGAGTGGGCCCGTGAAAGGTGGAAACATGATAAGTAGATGCGGTCCAACCAGGAGTGTCACGACCGATGGGCCTCCACCCGGACAAAGGTGAACGTCGAGACGTCATCCAGGTGGTGGTCACGCCAGACGTCCGCCAGGGAGTGATGGTCGACTATCTCCTGGAAGACATCCACGGCAGCTGGGCACTGCTTGGTCCCAGAGCAGTCCCACTCCTCGAGGGTAGTATTAAAGTCCCTGCCCAGGATCAGGCACTTATGAGGATCCAAGGTGCTGAGGAAGGCGGACACCTGCTGAAAGAAACGCAGCTGATCCGGGCCCAATGTCAGGGCATAGACGTTAACAAGGTTGACCACAAGCCCCTCAACAGGCGGCCCGGCACAGCCTCAGCGACCCCCAGCACCTCGGGCCGTAGGTCGGGGGAGAACAGGGTCACCACTCCAGCCGTATGAACTGTGAGATGGCTAAAGTAAATCCTGTCCCCCCCCCCCCCATTCCAGCCACCAGCTGTCTTCGGCAGCTGGATCCGTATGGGTCTTCTGCAGGAAAATCACAGAGTACCCCCCATCCCGGAAGAAGGGGAGCACCTGGCACCTGCGGAAACCCATCCTACAGCCCCGGGTGTTGAACATTGCAATGGTGAGAGGTGCCACGAGGAGGGCTGGGGGGGGGGGGGGGGGGGGAGGATCCTCACCGGCAGGGATGCTCACGGCTCCCAACGGGCCACACAACAATCCATGACCTACCCCATAAGTGAGTAAGGAGTCATGGAAGAGGCGGACCCGCTGGTAGGCCGCGGCGGCCTGCTTCCCAGTCCTTTTAGCCTCCCCCATGAGGGCCCCCGCAGCCTGGAGAATTTGATGGAAGTCCCCCCATCGCTGGAGAGCGAGTTGCACCTTGTTAACGTGAGCCATGGATGTCCTCCAAGAACTCCTGCAGCTCCTCTCGTAGCGTATGGGGGGCCGGGGTCACTAGCCCCCAGCTTTCCTCTGGAGGGACCACTGACACAGCCCCGTGGCCCACTGAAACGGGCAGACAAGGGGCGGACCCCCGACGTGGCACCCGATGGGCTGGCGCCACGCAGTCCCCCTCAAACCCCAGCTCAATTGGGGGCAGCGGAGGGAAGATAGGAGTCCCTGGTGAGTCGGGACAGGGAAATATAGAGGCCGCTCCCTGGGGGCTATCCTCTGGGAGTGAGGAGATGATGGTCCCAGGGGCAGCAATGATATCATGGGAGGTGGAGGGGACAGGGATCCAGAGTAGGAGCAGGGCAGGGGTCGGGAGCAGAATCCAGGAGAGGGGCAAAGACAGGATCCTGGGCCCCAGTAGCCAGGCCGCTGGGAAATGGCCCATCTCAGTCAAGCTCAGGGATCTGGGGGGTGGGAAGGGGGCCCTCCATGATGCCAGGCTGTGGCTCCATGGCCGGCGTAGTAGCCACGGCATCGTCAGTGGGGTCCCTACCCGGGAAGGAGGTCGGTTGCCCCATGCCCACGAGGGACATCCCATGGGGCTTGGGTCCCAGCCACATGGCACTGGCCATCGCCTCAGTAGGCTCGGCTGCCGTCAGCAGGGTGCCACCTGTGGCCGGGCAGATGGAGGAGTCCAGGGAACCCTCGGAGGCGGGAGCATGGAGAAAAGGGGGGCCGGGGTGAGGTCGCTCAGATCGAGGCCTGCTGGCAGACGGTCATCCTCCCCCTGGGTGACCGGGATCAGACCCAGGGCTTCAATCTCCTCGTAGATGGAAGGGAGCTCTCCTTCCACCACTCTGGAGTTCTCCCCACCAGTGCCCGAAGCGACGCTCACCTTGGGGCTCACAGGGGCTCCAGATGGTAACGGGGCAGGAGGGGCTCCATCGGGGGCCTTGGAGGGAAGGGACTCAATTTCCTGATGCAAGTGCTGGAGGAACCAACTAGGGGCAGAGCTCTTCTTGACCTGCTGCTCACAAACTGGGAAGAATTAGTAGGGGAAGCAAAAGTGGGTGGGAACCTGGGAGGCAGTGACCATGAAATGGTCAAGTTCAGGATCCTGAAACAAGGAAGAAAGGAAAGCAGCAGAATATGGACCCTGGACTTCAGAAAAGCAGACTTTGACTCCCTCATGGAACTGATGGGCAAGATCCCCTGGGAGAATAACATGAGGGGGAAAGGAGTCCAGGAGAGCTGGCTGTATTGTAAAGAATCCTTATTGAGGTTACGGGGACAAACCATCCCGATGTGTAGAAAGAATAGTAAATATGGCAGGCGACCAGCTTGGCTTAACAGTGAAATCCTTGCTGCTCTTAAATACAAAAAAGAGGCTTACAAGAAGTGGAAGATTGGACAAATGACCAGGGATGAGTATATAAATATTGCTCAGGCATGTAGGAATGGAATCATAGAATATCAGGGTTGGAAGGGACCCCTGAAGGTCATCTAGTCCAACCCCCTGCTCGAAGCAGGACCAATTCCCAGTTAAATCATCCCAGCCAGGGCTTTGTCAAGCCTGACCTTAGAAACCTCTAAGGAAGGAGATTCTACCACCTCCCTAGGTAACGCATTCCAGTGTTTCACCACCCTCTTAGTGAAAAAGTTTTTCCTAATATCCAATCTAAACCTCCCCCACTGCAACTTGAGACCATTACTCCTCGTTCTGTCATCTGCTACCATTGAGAACAGTCTAGAGCCATCCTCTTTGGAACCCCCTTTCAGGTAGTTGAAAGCAGCTATCAAATCCCCCCTCATTCTTCTCTTCTGCAGGCTAAACAATCCCAGCTCCCTCAGCCTCTCCTCATAACTCATGTGTTCCAGACCCCGAATCATTTTTGTTGCCCTTCGCTGGACTCTCTCCAATTTATCCACATCCTTCTTGTAGTGTGGGGCCCAAAACTGGACACAGTACTCCAGATGAGGCCTCACCAATGTCGAATAGAGGGGAACGATCACGTCCCTCGATCTGCTCGCTATGCCCCTACTTATACAAGTACATTGCCTTATACAATCAGGAAGGCAAAAATCACACCTGGAGTTGCAGCTAGCGAGGGAAGTTAAGAGTAACAAGAAGGGTTTCTTCAGGTATGTTGGCAATAAGAAGAAAGCCAAGGAAAGTGTGGGCCCCTTACTAAATGAGGGAGGCAACCTAGTGACAGAGGATGTGGCAAAAGCTAATGTACTCAATGCTTTTTTTGCCTCTGTCTTCACAAACAAGGTCAGCTCCCAGATTACTGCACTGGGCAGCACAGCATGGGGAGGAGGTGGCCAGCTCTCTGTGAAGGAAGAAGTGGTTCAGGACTATTTAGAAAAACTGGACGTGCACAAGTCTATGGGGCCAGATGCGTCCGAGAGTGCTAAAGGAATTGGCGGATGTGATTGCAGAGCCATTGGCTATTATCTTTGAAAACTCATGGCGATCAGGAGAGGTCCCGGAAGATTGGAAAAAGGCTAACGTAGTGCCCATCTTTAAAAAAGGGAAGAAGGATGATCCTGGGAACTACAGGCCGGTCAGCCTCTCCTCAGTCCCCAGAAAAATCATGGAGCATGTCCTCAAGGAATCAATTCTGAAGCACTTAGAGGAGAGGAAAGTGATCAGGAACAGTCAGAATGGATTCACCAAGGGAAAGTCATGCCTGACTAATCTAATTGCCTTCTATGAGGAGATTACTGGTTCTGTGGATGAAGGGAAAGCAGTGGACGTGTTATTCCTCGACTTTAGCAAAGCTTGACACGGTCTCCCACAGTATTCTTGTCAGCAAGTTAAAGAAGTATGGGCTGGATGGATGCACTACAAGGTGGGCAGAAAGTTGGCTAGATTGTCGGGCTCAACGGGTAGTGATCAATGGCTCCATGTCTAGTTGGCAGCCGGTATCTAGCGGAGTGCCCCAAGGGTCGGTCCTGGGGCCGGTTTTGTTCAATATCTTCATTAATGATCTGGAGGATGGTGTGGATTGCACCCTCAGCAAGTTTGTGGATGACGTTAAACTGGGAGGAGCGGTATGTGCTGGAGGGTAGGGATAGGATACAGAGGGACCTAGACAAATTGGAGGATTGGGCCAAAAGAAATCTGATGAGGTTCAACAAGGACAAGTTGAGAGTCCTGCACTTAGGACGGAAGAATCCAATGCACCGCTACAGACTAGGGACCGAATGGCTAGGCAGCAGTTCTGCAGAGAAGGACCTAGGGGTGACAGTGGACGAGAAGCTGGTTATGAGTCAACAGTGTGCCCTTGTTGCCAAGAAGGCTAATGGCATTTGGGGGTGTATAAGTAGGGGCATTGCCAGCAGATCGAGGGACGTGATCGTTCCCCTCTATTCGACATTGGTGAGGTCCCATCTGGAGTACTGTGTCCAGTTTTGGGCCCCACACTACAAGAAGGATGTGGATAAATTGGAGAGAGTCTGGCGAAGGGCAACAAAAATGATTAGGGGTCTGGAACACATGACTTATGAGGAGAGGCTGAGGGAACTGGGATTGTTTAGTCTGCGGAAGAGAAGAATGAGGGGGGATTTGATAGCTGCTTTTAACTACCTGAAAGGTGGATCCAAAGAGGATGGCTCTAGACTATTCTCAGTGATAGCAGATGACAGGACAAGGCGTAATGGTCTCAAGTTGCAGTGGAGGAGGTTTAGGTTGGATATTAGGAAACACTTTTTCACTAGGATGGTGGTGAAACACTGGAATGCGTTGCCTAGGGAGGTGGTGGAATCGCCTTCCTTAGAAGTTTTTAAGGTCAGGCTTGACAAAGCCCTGGCTGGGATGATTTAGTTGGGATTGGTCCTGCTCTGGGCAGGGGGTTGGACTAGATGGCCTCCAGTGGTCCCTTCCAACTCTATTATTCTATGATTCTATGACTCCATTGGAAGGGCGGTACTGCCCTCCCATGCTGCCACGTCTTCCCCAGCTGGTACCGGGGGGATGGAACGCACCTGCGGGCAAGGCAGAAGGCTCGGCATCAGTGCCCCCCTTTCTGGTCTTCCGGGGGGCTTCTGCATCAGTGGAAAGGAGCGGAGCTTGAGCCTTCCGCTTGCCACACTTCCCGTGGACTAGGGCCCGGCCTTCCATGGCATCATTGGGGGGGTGCAGGGGCGATGGCTCAGGGACTGTGGGAGGCAGCGGTGGGGCGGCACGAGGGAGGGAAGATTCCCCTGGGGCAGGCCCTCTCCCATGCTTGGTAGTATCCCTGCCGCACCCTCCTTTTGGGGCCCTGCCGGATTGCAGGCAGCAAAGGCAGGGCTCTCCCACTTGTCTGTGCGCACTGGGGTAAGCACCCCTTGGGCCCGAGCGGGAGCACTGGTGGACTGAGTAGGAGGAGGGGCGGCTCCGAGTGCCGGGCAGCCAGGAGTGCCAGCGATGATGGGGTCAGCGCCCCGCCAGGGCTGAGAGGTCCCAGATGCCCCTCCTTGCCCGGCCAAAGGGCAGTCCCTACGGGTGTGTCCCATCACCCAGCAGAGGTAGCACCGGGGCCTCCCCTGTGGAATAATGCACCCGGTAATGGGCCCCCTGGTAGGGGACCAAGAATGACCCCTCAAGTGCCTCTCCATCACATGCCGCTGGCGGCAGTTGAAGCTGCACTTGCTGGGGGAACAAGAGGACATGATGGAGGGCGGGGTCTTTGCAGCCCAGTGGGAGAGGGCTCACGACAGAGATGTGTTTCCTCAGGGTGGAGAGGGTGGGTAATAGGACGGCATTGGGGAGGGACGGAGGTCAGGACCAGGCGGACGCCCAGGTCATCCAGCGGCTCCAGGGGGACGAACACACTCCCCACCACCAGGTCCTTCTCCACCGCCTCCTGGGCGGTGGCCTCCGATGCTAAGAAGATGACGACCTTGCCATACATTTTGGAGGCCACCACAATGACCGTGGGCCCCACCACCCTCGCCAACGCCCGCACGTAGGTCTCCATGTGGGGCGAGGCAGGCACCAGGAGGCAACAGACGCCGTGCTTTCTGGTCATAGGGGGAAAGGGGCCCTGGCCGCTATAGATGGTAGCGGAGGCGGTGGATGGGAGAGATGACACAGTCACAGGTGGGGGGGGGGCTGCCACCACCTGGGCTTACGCCCTGGGAGCCAGGGGAGGGACACCTGCAGAGCTGGTGGAGGGAGCAGCGGGTAGGGACGCCACAGCCTGTGGCGGGGCTGCGGCAGTGGGGGCAGTCCCTGCCACGGAGGGCCTGGTCTTTTTAGCGGGGTCCTTCCCCTTCTTCTTACCCTGGCCCTTCCCGCCAGCTGGGGGGGCTCCCCCAGAATTGGAGGAGGCGAGGGACGTGGCAGTAGCGGAGGTCACCGCGTTGGATGGCGCCCCAGCAGGGGAGGTGGCAGGTGGTTTGGCAGCAGCGGTTGAGGTAGAGGCCTGCGGGGGGGGGGGGATGGAGGGGCAGCCAGGGCTACTGGAGGGGCCCCACCCACCATTTCCCCTGCCATAATGAACAGGGAGGGAGGGAGGGGAAAACACCAGAGAGAGGAGGGGAAAGGGGAAGCAGGTCAACCACTCCTCCCTGCAAGGCTGCAAGCAGGGGAGGAGGGCGCCCAAAGGGGTGGGCTGGGCAGGGGGGCTATCAAGGGCTCGTGGGGGACAATCACCGACTCAGAATAGAAATCCGGCTCCTCTAGCTGCACTAGGGGAGGGGGGTCATAACAACGTTGGGGGAGGGGTGCAGTGAGATAGGGGCAAACTCAAACAGGGGAAGGGCACAAGCGCATGGGAGGGGGCATGGGTGCACTGAGTAAGGGGCCAATCAGAGCAGGGGTACCACATGGGGAGCGGGGAGAATCAGCCTGGAGGTAGGACAGGGAACCAAGGAACTAGCTTCAGAGGCTGGGGTGGGGCAAACAAACAAAAGCTGCAGAGGGAAAAGGGCAGGGCAGGCAAACAAACTGAAGCTAGTGAGGTGCTGGGGTAAAAGGGAGGACAAAAAGTCTGCAAGGGGCAAATGGGGCAGGTAGCAAGGGACAAAGCTGGGGGCTTGCTGAAGGGGTCAGTCTGGGGGGGGCACACGCGCCTACATGCGCATGCAAAGCATCAATGAGGGCTGACTGCTGCTTCATGCCCAAAAGGTGGTGAAAGGGCACGGCAGGTCAAGCAAGCAGCGGAGTCCCAGAGGCAGGAGCTTGAGGCAGATGATAAGTGTCCACTAGGGGTGGTGGAGGGGGCAGCAACAATGGTGATGGTGGGGGTTGCGGGGGGGGGACTAACAGATGGACTGGGGGGCAGGCTCCATACCACACCCCCGTGTCCCCACAAACACAGTCAAAACCCTCACCACAAGAACACAGTTCAAAAGTTACTCAGCCTTCAGGTCCCCTCCACAGTGGTCTGCAGAGTCCATGCGCACTCCCCCAGCAGCAGATGGCTGCATCCCCTCCTCCTCCTCTGGGGTCCAGCAGCTCCACGCAGCAGCCCAGTGGCCAGGCAGGCAGAGAGGACCCCTCACAGGTGGTGGTGGTGTCCACAGCAGCAGTAGCAATGGCTGGGGTAGGGGTCCTTCACTCCCCCCCCTCTGGGGAGTAGGCCAGCAGGCCACCGCCGCCACACCCCCCCAAGGGGCTGTAGTTGGAGCAGTAGCAGCACCCTAGGGTGGGGGAGTCCAGCAGTTAGCCAGCAACCAGGTACCAGAGAAGGGGTGGGTGGTGTCCGGCCCAGCCAGAGAAGAAGCTGGAGCCCAAGGCCCAGCAGCAGGAGCTCTAATCTCCCTCCTTCTTCCAGGCCAGTCGGGTTCAGCAGAGGAGTCAGATCTATTGTCCCCTAGATGAACAGGTTTCTGTTCCCTAGCTGACACATTAGCCTGCAAAGAGTCAGCTGAAGCTGTTAGCCTAATGAGAACACCTGACTCCAATTAACCTGCAAAGCGTCAGGTGAGGCCGTTAAGCTAATGCGAACACCTGACTCTAATTAAGGCCCCTCTGATACTATAAAAGGGCTCACTCTGGCCAGGCTAAGGAGATCTAGGGAACCAGGGGAGAAGATGTGTGGTTGAAGGGCTAGGTAATAAAGATGCCCTCAAGCCACTGGAAAGGGAGCCCTAAGGTAAGGGTGAAGAAGGTGTTAAGAGAGAAAGAAGCAGGAGAGCTGTGGGGAAGTAACCCAGGGAAATGTAGCAACTCTGTCAGTGAAAGGTTGGCTGCCAACAACTGTTGCCATTAGGGTCCCTGGGCCGGAACCCAGAGTAGAGGGTGGGCTCAGGTTCCCCTGAACCTGACACTACAGAAACCGACTTCCTGGGAGGGGAAGACCGGCCCCTGTCAGGACAGGAGGCTAAACTGTTTAGGAATAAGTCCACAGGGACAACAGCGACTGTAGGAGCTCTCTCACCAACCTCCTTGCTGGCTTATGATGAAAAGGGCTCAGTAAACTGTAACCCTGGCCCTAGAAAGAGAAGGGCTACATAGGGGGTCACAGTGAGTCTCTGAGGTTAGCATAAACCACCTGGAAGTGCAGGACACATGGGGACAAGGTCAGAGCTCTGCCACAATATGTTTATCTTTTTTACACTGCAAATATTTGTAACAAAAATAATAATATAAAGTGAGCACTGAACACTTTGTATTCTGTGTTGTAATTGAAATCAATATACTTGAAAATTCTTGAAAAACAAATTTAAATGGGTAATCTATTATTTAACAGTGCAATTAAAACTGCTATTAATCATGACTGATTTTTAAAATCTAGTTAATTTGTTTTGTATTAATTGCTTGAGTTAACTGATTAATTGACAGCCCTAAAAATAAAAAATCCAAACTTGTTCCCAGTTTACCTTTTAATTCCATAAACATAGACAACACCAGTCACTTCAAAGAAAGCGATGATTAGCAAAGGCAAGGAACCGGCATAACTGTCAAAAATTTCAAGCCAGTAACTTCCAGACCTCAGGGTAAAACACAGAGCTGTCACGAAGGAGACCAGGCATATTACACCTAAATAAAAGTTATTTCTGTTAATAAAGAATACATGGTGGGTGCTCTGTTCAGATATGATTAATATTTTTGCTCTCATTTTAACAATTTTATCCAACAAACTTCTGTATGGAGCTATAATTTGCTATCTCAGTGTAAGCAACAGTTAAATTCAAAGTGCTACATTGTTTGGGGAATTAATACACAGACCAAATTCTCCCTGGCATTTTGGCCAAGAGATACTGTACGATGGTGCAAAGCAGCCATAAAGCTGGAATAACTGGCAACAGGAAAATCAGTATAGTGAAGGAGGATCCTCTGGAGTGTAGAGCAGGTGTGGCAGTTTTTTGTCATAGCCCCCAGCTGCCTATGGCCAATGTGAGAGGTGTGGCTAGGGCTTTTCTGCAGTCTGGTAATCTCTGACTTCCGTAAAGACCCCTTAGGGCAAATGGCTTCCAGCATAATTTAGAATGGCCTTCAGCTGCCTTAATTTATACTGCATAACTGGCCCCAAAACAGCCCAGGATTGTGGGAGTACAAAGGGGAATGTATCTGATGAAGTGAGCTGTAGCTCACGAAAGCTTATGCTCAAATAAATTTGTTAGTCTCTAAGGTGCCACAAGTCCTCTTTTTCTTTTTAAAGGGGACTCTGAGTCCCTAGTCTCCTGAAGTTGGGCTGGGTGCTCTGAATGGAGGATCTCCGCCTGTATGCCACTGTAGCACAGTGTATTCATAAGGGTAAGGGCTCACTGTGCATTAGGTAGAGGTCAAGGGTAGTAGTATTGGGCCAGAGAAGAAAAGAAGTAGTTCCATTTTATTGTCATTTTTATCTGGAAAGGGGAAAGAGCTTTTGAAACTTGGGTGTGCTAAAACAAGGATGGTCACAATGTTCTTTTTAGTAGTGCAAATGTCAAATCCTACTCCCATGACCACTGAAATGGTCTTCTCACCCAACCTGTGCAGAATTCATAAATGGAACTTCAGTGCAGATTCTTACAGAACTCTGTAAATCTACCAGTATCTGGAGAATTGTCCAGTTCTCTATTGCCTTGTTTTTCTTTCTGTCAGTCAAAATCCTGCATTGTGGTAATCTCTGATTCCTGTAAAGACCCATTAGGGCAAAATCCCCTCCTCGCTAATTGTGTGCCCAGAGTAATTTTTTAATAGCACACATTTCCTCAGGTTCATTTTCAGATCACCACCCTTATCCTTATTGCAGACCTTTTGTAAATGTATCCATTCCTGCTCAAAAGTTTTATCATGAACTAGGATCCAAGTGTAATAGGCTGAGAGAGAGAGATGGAATGCAATACTCTCTCCAAAAGCTTCAGCGGTGGCAAGGACATTACATGAACCCAGAGCTATTACTTTAAATTGCCACAGGCCTTGTCCAGCTGTGAAAGCAGTCTTTCCCCTGTCCTTTGGATCCATTTCCAGTTGCCAATAATCACTTTTAAACTCCAGAGAAGAAAGCCAAACAGAACCTGCTACAGCTCCAATGCCCAGTTCCCTGGGAGCAATTCTGCTTCACTAATTGGCTCTCGTTAGAGAGATTAAGGTAGAGAACACTCTTATTCTGCTTGCTTCCATAAAAGGAAACTGCATATGAAAACTAACAATACTACAAGCAATTTTTCTAAGACTGGTCAGTACTCTCAAGCTAAGAAAAAAAATGTGAAGGACTATGTAACATCACCATCTGGCAACTCCTGCCGTAACACAACCTGATCTATACCTTATGTCTCCTATAAAGAGACTTGATAAAGCAGTTGAACTCACAATTGTAATATCTTCATTTACATTCTGAAGTGGCAATGAGTAAATATTGCAAACTAATTCCCCATAAAATATTTATTAAACTGTTAAGAATTCATGAGTTTGTAAAGAGCCTAGCTTCTGTGAACAAAATGAAGAAAGTCCTATAAATAACCTGCTCACCTGATAGAACCTCCTTGGGTACAGATTTAGATACAACAGGAAGCTCCAAGAGAGGAGTCAAAATTCCCTCAATGTTTCCAAACATAGAGGAAAGACCCAAGCTGAACAGCATTACAAAAAACAGGACAGCCCAGCCCTGTGAGCCAGGCATCAGAATAATTGCTTCAGTGAAAACAAGAAAGGCAAGGCCAGTTCCAGATGCACTCTGCAGAATTCACAAACAGATAACACATTTTGATGAATAAGATTTATTTTTCAAACATATAGCATTATAATGCACATGCAGATCTTGTTCATTCAAATTCTAAACCCCAAGGTCAAGATTTTGGATTGGATGTTTTTCTAAAAGAGATCCTGTAATTGCAAGCTATTGGATGTGAAGCAAGAATGAATTCAGGGAAGTCCTATGACCTGTGTTATTAAGGAGATCAGACTTAGATGATCCCTTCTGGCCTTAAAATCTAAGAATCTATTAATTTAGAGGAATTCTTGGAATGCTAAGCCAGAGAACTTTGAGCTCAAAGTTTTTATAACAATACTGATGCCTGAAATGTAGAAACAAAAGAAATATGGTCAGTTTGGTAGGTATCCAATGTTCTTTGTAACAATGTTTTGCAAGTGCAATGGAACATATATGTTAAGAAGATGAAAAGTATCACAGTCCATAACATTTTTGAGCAAGGGTTATTTTTTAGCATGCAAGCGTGATACCTGGTCAAGAAATTCTTGAAGGTCACAACTTCTCAATTTGAGACTAGTGATTTTTTTTGGATGGGTTGTATTCAGGAATCCAAACCAGATTGTATAGTTGTCTCTTGTGATGCTTTGGTCCGGAAGATCAAATTCATTGAGGATACTGATAATGTTCCTGCCAGAGAAAGCATGCTTCAACATTTTTCCTTAATGTATAAGAATTTGTTTAGATATCTTTAGATTATAGCTACAGAAGCTTTTGCAGGAACCCATTATCTATTTTGTAGTCACCTAGCTATAGTCAGTACTGTATATATTTATGGTACAATGTACATTTAAAATATTAATAGAGAATTGCGTTGAGTTTTATACAGTTTTCACAATAGAAACAAAAATGTTAAACGAGGGTATTGTTAAAATTATGGGGAAAATATTTGGAGAAACTAAGTATTACAATTTGGCTTATAGTTTCAAATACAAACTCCACCTTCAGACTATGCAGACATAGTACATAAAGCAGGTCTTTGTAAAAACAGCTCATATTATTGCTATCTTGTTCTCTCTCCCTCCCACTTCCACCTGTTGTCAGAGCCACTTGTGTTTTGTAAGACTGAGAGTTCTCTGGGGTAGGAAATGTCATTTTACTATATAGTTGTACAGCACCTAGCACAACTTAACACTGATCCCTGACTGGGGCCTTCAGGCACAACTGTAATACAAATAAGTAAATAATAATAATAATTAATAATGAATAAGTATTTTAGTATTTGTTTTACATGTTATTAATGCCTCCTCTGATAATTATTGATAATGACCTTTTAATGTGCATTGCCATAAAATGTTTATATTAGGTTTCCTATTTATAACTTGTTCCCCTTCAATACAAATGTGTTCTCCAAATATATGTTTCTGCCGTAGCATGTTATCTATTTAGGCTGCACCATAGCATCTGAAAATCCAAGATGTCCCACCTGTCCAGGCAGTCCCAATAACCAGTGGTTGCCTTAAATCCCAAAATAGAAAAAATTGGGATGGAGGCATACAGTGATGTCATACTATTTACAATTGCTATTGTCACAGCATCCTTCTCACAGTCATTTCTAGAAAGAAAACACATACAAATTAATTTACACAACATGATAGGGTTTATTCAACATATATATTTTAGCAAAATAATTAGTTTTTAGTAATTAGTCTACAATTTAATTCATGGACCTAGACTGTGGACTGTTTATCCATATAATATGGATAAACATGTATAAGGGCTGTCAAACTATTAAAAAAATTAATGGCTCGATTAATCGCACTGTTAATAATAAAATACCATTTATTTAAATATTTTTGATGTTTTCTACATTTTCCAGTATATTGATTTCAATTGCAACACAGAATACAAAGTGCACAGTGCTCACTTTATATTTTTTATTACAAATATTTGCACTGTAAAAAAAAAGTGCTCTCTCTTTATCCTGAAAATTGACCTTACAAATGTAGAATTATGTAAAAAAAAAACAAAAAACCCTGCATTCAAAAATAACATGTAAAACTTTAGTGCCTACAAGTCCATTCAGTCCTATCTCTCAGGCAAACAACTTTGTTTACATTTGCAGGAGATAATGCTGCCTGCTTCTTGTTCACAAAGTCATCTGAAAGTGAGAACAGGTGTTCTCATGGCATTGTTGTAGCCAGCATTGCAAGGTATTTACATGCCAGAGGCGCTAAAGATTCATATGTCCCTTCATGCTTCAACCACCATTCCAGTGGACATGCAGCCATGCTGATGACGGGTTTTGCTCAATAATAATCCAAAGCAGTGCGGACCAATGCATGTTCATTTTCATCATTTGAGTCAGATGCCATCGGCAGAAGGTTGATTTTCTTTTTTGGTGGTTCAGGTTCTGTAGCTTCCGCATTGGAGTGTTGCTCTTTTAAGACTTCTGAAAGCATACTCCATGCCTCGTCCTTATCAGCTCTTGGAAGACACTTCAGATTCTTAAACCTTGGGTCAAGTGCTGTAGCTATATAGAAATTTCACATTGGTACCTTCTTTGCGTTTTCTCAAATCTGCAGCAAAAGTGTTCTTAAAATGAATATCTGCTGAGTCATCATCTGAAATTACTATAATATGAAATATATGGCAGACAATTGACATACAATGTCAATGAGACATACAATTCTCCCCCAAGGAGTTCGGTCACAAATTTAATTAACGCATTATTCTTTTAATGAGCATCATCATGGAAGCATGTCCTCTGGGAATGGTGGCTGAAGCATGAAGGGGCATATGAATGTTTAGCATATCTGGCACGTAAATACTTTGCAATGCCAGCTACAAAAGTCTCATGCGAACACCTGTTCTCACTTTCTGGTGACATTGTAAACAAGAAGAGGGCAGCATTATCTCCTGTAAATGTAAACAAACTTGTTTGTCTTAGCGATTGGCTGAACAAGAAGTAGGAATGAGTGGACTTGTAGGCTCTAAAGTTTTGCATTGTTTTGTTTGAGTGCAGTTATGGAACAAAAAAAAAATCTACATTTGTAAGTTGCACTTTCACGATAAAGAGATTGCACTACAGTACATGCATGAGGTGAATTGAAAAATACTGTTTCTTTTGTTTATCATTTTTACAGTGCAAATATTTGTAATAAAAATAATATAAAGTGATCAGTGTACACTTTGTATTCTGTTGTAATTGAAATCAATATATTTTAAAATGTAGAAAAACATCCAAAAATGTTTATTAAACAATAGAATACCAATTGAAATTTATTAATGTGATTAAAACTGTGATTAATCACCATACATTTTTTAAGCACAATTAATTTTTTTGAGTTAATCGTATGAGTTAACTGCGATTAGTCGACAGCTCTCGTGTGTGTGTGTGTGTGTATAGATATAGATATAAATTTTACATTTTGTGATTTTTCTATGGGTAAGTCCTGAAATAAAACTATGCTCAGTTTCAATAAGAAATAATATTCTTGCAAATAGTGATATTTGGGAAATTGTCATTTTTTTTCCCTTCAGGTTTAAAATTAGTAATTTTTTCTTACCATCTTCTAATCTATTTAAAATACACAATTTAGTGTGAACATAGTTTAGCCATTGGAAGGTCAAAGTTTGATAAGATACTTTACAAGTATCACAAATAAATGCTGGTTTTGACAATTTGAAGAATATAATAATATGCAACAAATGGTTAGTCTGTATCTGCAAAAAGAAAAGGAGTACTTGTGGCACCTTAGAGACTAACAAATTTATTTGAGCATAAGCTTTTGTGAGCTACAGCTTTCTTTTTGTGGATACAGACTAACATGGCTGCTACTTTGAAATCTAATCTGTGAAAGTCATAGCCATACTTACTTTGGTGAGTTGTAGCTTGAGAATGCTATGAGTCCTCCAAAAGCCAAGGAGAGAGAGAAAAATATCTGGGTGGCTGCATCAAGCCATACACGGGGATTTTTGAGAATGTTCAGCTGAAACAATTGCAATGAATGTGAGTATTAGACTTCCTTTCAAATTTTCAGTTGTCTTTTTCTTTGTTCTCATATTTCATGAATTGTGGTCCTACTTAAGTGTGCTGAAAAATGGAAGTGAATGCCAAAATATTCCAATAAATCAGCATAATTTGAAGGCCCATTATGTAGGGATTCTGAAATGTCTTAGTTTTTATTGTAGTAAAAATCTTCTATTTTATGATATAAGTTTTTCTGAGTGACACTTTACATGGACATATTAAACTTTGATTAATACTTTTTTCTCCCTACTTATGTATATGTATTTCTATGGTGCTCACCACAGTAATAACTGAGCATCTATGAAATCAAGCTACTTCAGTATTGTCTTGCTAATGCCACCAATTGTGGTGTATGAAAATTGTATTTAACCTTCACTGTTTTCTGTTTTTTGGAGAAAAGTGTGTTTATTTTTCCATGTCTCTTGAATCAATGTGTTTAAAAATATTAAAATATACTAGCGGCACCAAAAAGCCACAATCACATAACAAGGCTTTATCAGTTAAAAAGGTGTACTAATTGCAGAGAAAAGAAAGCAGCAATAAAAAGTAAAAAGATAATAAAAAAAGGGGATGTTAATAATGAAGAATGAATTAGAAGTTAAGAAATGCAAACACTTCATAAAGGGAAGCTAAAGGTATCAATGAAAGAATTCATGACCGGTAGGGTTAAAAACAATGTTAGTGGGTAGGTGGCCCTCTGACAGGCTCCACAGTGGGAAATGGGGCAGCTCATGTTCACTTGGGAGTAGTTAACTCACCAAGTAACTGGGATGTAGTTAATTAGGCAGGGAAGCACCCAGGCATGATAAAAGGACCTCAGTTTGGGGGGGGGGGGGATTTCTGAGGAGAATAGAAACTGCCAGAGATGCAGAAGAATTGCAGTGATATGATCCCTCCAGTAGACTGGGGAGAAGCTACCAGAGAAGCCAATGCTCTGAAGGGGGAGAAGCAGGGCCCAGGGCAAGAGGCTGGGGGAGCCTATAGAGAAGGAGAGGTAATAAATAGCTTATAGAGCAGGAAGGGATAGAAAATTATTAGTTCTGGCTGCCCTAAACAAGGTCCCTGAGTTGGAACACTGAGTGGAGTGCGTGGGTCTGGGCTCTTCTACCTTTTCCAGCCAAGGACTCTTGAGAAGAAATCTCTAAACCGAGGAGACCTAGGGCTGTCTAGCCCCACTAAAGCCATGGGGCTTCTGACTCTCCATTATCCTGGAGGGCAGAGACTATTAAGAACCTGGCCACATCGCTGGGTCATAACAAGGTCTTGACAAACAGGGAATCAAATGTGGCGGCATAAGGGTGATGGAGTTGGGATGTTGTAGCTCCTCATCCCACTGCAAGGGGTTCATTATTTTTGAACTTCGGGGTTAGCAATACTGCACCCTTCGTTCCTCTGAATGAAGGGTAGCAGGCAGAGGGAGAACATATGTTCCTGGAAGAAGATTATGGCCAGGGAGGGAAAGGAATGTATTTTGTTTCTTCTGTACTTTTTGTTACCCTGGAAAGGAAAGAATTTATGGTTTGGGTGGAAAGCTAAACTGCATCAAAATCACACAACTGCCCCAAACGAAGGGAAACTGAAGTACCGTAGTAGAGACATGATTAAGGCATTGTCAAGTACCACAGTAAAAAGGTAATGGATCCATCATAGGCCTACAGATGTGGTGTATGCAGAACTCTGAGGACTGGTCTACACTGCTTCTTAAGTCAATATAACTTATGTCACTCAGGTGTGAAAAAGACATAAGTTACATCGACTTAAGCACTGTCCACACCATGCTATGCTGGTGGGGAGACACTCTCCTGCCGACATAGCTTCCACCTCTTTGTGGAGGTGGAGTAATTATGCTGATGAGAGAGCACTCTCCCATCAGCATAGCGCTAGATGTAGTGCGATAATGGTCTCAATTAAGTCAATGGGAGTACTACAGAGGGAGCAGCTGCAAGAATAAACTTTTAATTTATATGAATTATACTTCAAAAGAATCAAGAACATATATTTATAGAATTAGTATTCATCACTTTCAACTTTGCTTTGACAGCATAATTGAAATGTTTAATTCATTCATTTTAAAATCTGATTGTTCAATTTATAAACTAAATATTTATAAAATATAGCATCTTAAAATATTATTTGAATCATAGAATCATAGAATATAAGGGTTGGAAGGGACCCCAGAAGGTCATCTAGTCCAACCCCCTGCTCAAAGCAGGACCAAATCCCAGTTAAATCATCCCAGCCAGGGCTTTGTCAAGCCTGACCTTAAAAACCTCTAAGGAAGGAGATTCTACCACCTCCCTAGGTAACGCATTCCAGTGTTTCACCACCCTCTTAGTGAAAAAGTTTTTCCTAATATCCAATCTAAACCTCCCCCACTGCAACTTGAGACCATTACTCCTCGTTCTGTCATCTGCTACCATTGAGAACAGTCTAGAGCCATCCTCTTTGGAACCTCCTTTCAGGTAGTTGAAAGCAGCTATCAAATCCCCCCTCATTCTTCTCTTCTGCAGGCTAAACAATCCCAGCTCCCTCAGCCTGTCCTCATAACTCATGTGTTCCAGACCCCTAATCATTTTTGTTGTCCTTCGCTGGACTCTCTCCAATTTATCCACATCCTTCTTGAAGTGTGGGGCCCAAAACTGGACACAGTACTCCAGATGAGGCCTCACCAATGTCGAATAGAGGGGAATGATCACGTCCCTCGATCTGCTCGCTATGCCCCTACTTATACATCCCAAAATGCCATTGGCCTTCTTGGCAACAAGGGCACACTGCTGACTCATATCCAGCTTCTCGTCCACTGTCACCCCTAGGTCCTTTTCCGCAGAACTGCTGCCTAGCCATTCGGTCCCTAGTCTGTAGCTGTGCATTGGGTTCTTCCGTCCTAAGTGCAGGACCCTGCACTTATCCTTATTGAACCTCATCAGATTTCTTTTGGCCCAATCCTCCAATTTGTCTAGGTCCTTCTGTATCCTATCCCTCCCCTCCAGCGTATCTACCACTCCTCCCAGTTTAGTATCATCCGCAACCATCTAGAAGGCAGTCTGGTATTTAATACAATTTAGTTCCCCTAAACACTAACAAGGTGAAACTTCAAAAGTTGTTTCCATTATTTTCACTTTATAACCTAAGCTATATGTTATTTTCTTTTGGAGTATGTACAAAGTAAGAGTATGTATGTAAGGTTTAACATGCTTGTGATGGGGGTGGACTCGGTCCTGAGGCACCTGCCACATCCTGTCCCAGAAAAGGACAGTAGAGCAGTCCTCCAATCTGCCTAGAGTGGCTGTGCGGGAAGCTGCCAATCGTAACCCAGCAGGCTCATATAAGAAGAGCTGAAGGGCCAGTATGAGTCCAGTCCCTTGCTTGGAGGAGAGTAGATGGCATCCCTGGCTGGCTGAGGGAACTACAGGACCCAGGGCTGGGCTGGGCTGGGCTGGGCTGCTGAAAGAGAGCAAGAAGGAGCTCTTGCTGCTGGGACTTCATCAGGACAGGGCCCTGAGGTAAGGATGAAGAATGTGCTGGAGCCTTGGGGAAGTGGCCTAGAGAATTAGAGTAGCAGTGCAGCTTAGATAAAGGGACATGGCATGTCTGCTATTTATTTGGACCCAGAGTAGAGGGTGGGCTTGGGTTCCCTACCCCACCCCAGCCACTGGGAAAGTGGCCTGAGCTCTGAGGCACCCCAGAAGGGGAACTGAACTGTAGTGGCCCAGCTGAACCCAGAAAGGCTCTGAGAGGGTGAAGACACTGCCTCCAGGGAAAGAGGCCTGGGGCACGGCCCTATTCTGAAGCAGGGACAATTTGAGAGAGATGTTACAGGGGGCACTGAGAGAACCCCTATTGCACTTGTACCCCGGAAGACAGACTTGGCTGGAGGGCTGAGTCACCAAAGACACACCACAAACTGAGAGAGAATGTGCAGGCACACTCACTGAGACAGGGTGTGCTTGTGAGACGTGAGTGCATCTTGTTACAAAACTCTAATTATATTTTTATGTAAATAGAATTTGAAGCCTTTTAGAAGATGTTAAGAATTAGATCCATCTTGCAGTACAGGATTTTATAGTAGTTATTTTAGCTATTAAGACAGTGAAAGTCAATTAAATAGGTTTTTGTCCACCGAACTACTGATCTGAACAGATTTTTAAGACTTCTGTTATCCAATTTTATAAAGAAGAATTCTTATTTAGCTGGTTTCAGAGGAACAGCCGTGTTAGTCTGCATTCGCAAAAAGAAAAGGAGTACTTGTGGCACCTTAGAGACTAACCAATTTATTTGAGCATGAGCTTTCGTGAGCCACAGCTCACTAGTGCCATTGTTATCATACTCCTCCACTGACATGAATTTAAAATACTTTGTGTAATATTTAAGGGCCTAATCCAAAGCCCATTGATGTTTATAATGCTAGGTTCTAGGATAGTTGCAACATCCCTGTAATGTAATTTATCCTAAATTGCTAAACTGTACGCTCCACCTTAACATCTTAACAGTTTTTGCCTAGGAGTGTCCTCCTTTATAAAATAAAATTTCATACACGTATACTGAAGAAACTTAATGTCACCATGTGGTGGTTTAATGATTTGAAGATATGATGTATCGACCTTAAATCACTTTCTTAATTTTAACTTATGGCCAGATTTACTGATACACTCTAGCTGCTTTACATTACTATGGAGCGGCTCCAAGCATAGGATCAGTTAAAACTTTATTTTTTCAACTGCCTTCTTAGCTAGAGCAGAAGAAAATAGCTAAAGTGTACACCAGTTTCACCCTCCCTTCTGTCCTCCAAAGTCCCCCTCCGTCTTGTACTGCCCTACATTACCCCATGCGCACCACCTACAAATTCCCCCTTCTTCTTAGACTCCTTATGTGACCCTGCATATACACACTTACAGCTTAGATACCTGCTCCTGGCCTACCTGTGGAGTAGATCTGATGCAATGGGTTGCTTTTGAAAAGATATTTAGGATTAATGGTCAATTTTTGCCATTTATTTTTCATAAATGACAGTTCATCTTTCACAAACTGCTTCCCGCTTTCCATTTTTCTCAATGGGGATTGAAGCCATAACTGCCCAGAGGGAAGATGGTGGCCCACTATGCTATGAGGAGCCAGAAACACTGTGGGACACAAGGGGACTTACTTAGTGGTGCCTAAATAATGGCCTTTGATGCCTAACATTCACAAAACCACTGTTCTTGTGCTGCCTAACCCTATGAGCACCTAATCCCAATTTCCCCCCACTGGGAACACACAAAGTTGCCTAAATCCTAACACTTCCTCACAGCTAGATGAGCTGCTAGATGCCTTACCCCAATGTGATTTTCAAACTAGGCTTTCTCCTGCCTGTCTTGCCTCTGTGGCCCGATCTGGTAGGCATGATCAGAGCATGCCTACCTCCCACAAAATACAGCCAGGGGTGAGCCAGCTGGGGATTTTAGGGATTGGTTGGTGTGTGTGTGTTCGGAATACCCAATATCCCAGTGAATAAGGCACTCACCTGGGAGCTGTGAGAACAGAAACATCCAAAGCAGGAACTGTGGCAGTAAGGGATGGTGATAAAATGGTGCCCAGCTGGGCCATTCCTTCCCTGGTCCTCGAACAGTGATGGGGAGACCCACACACACTCTGGGGATACTAGGGTCCAGGTGGTGCCACTCCTCTTCCCCTCCCCCCATCTTGTGTTCGAGAAGAAGGGTAGAGAGGAGCCAGCGGGAAACTCCAGCCAGCAGAAGCAAAAGTAGCTAAAGCAGGGACCTGTAGATGTTCTAGGCAAAAACTATAGAGAATTTTGACTTTCTCCGCCCTGTGCTGCTTTGCTGTTTGCTTCTCCCTTCCCCCTCCCCTCCTCAAAAAGCAATTACAAGCTAAGTAGCGTTCTCAAAATGGCTACAAATGAGGGGATCTGTGCCTTCAGCCCTATTGAGGACAATTGGGGGATGGCAGTCATTTTGAAATAGGACAGTTCTTCACAGTGAATCCTGATTCTTTCAGGCTCTCCTGAAGAAGCTTTCAATTATGAAGAATCATTAATTGCAGGGGATGGGAGCAGAATTACCATTAATCTTTTTTTTAAAAAAAATCAAGTGTTTAATTCCTAAAGTGAATAATTTTAAAATCTCAGAATAATTTTTTTACTCAGTAAGTGCTGTAATTTTCAGAAGGATACACAAGAAGCTGAATCAGTCCTTAAGGAGCAAAACTCAATTCCACATAAACTATGGTGTCACTAATGATGCCTTCATAATATGCTTCCGCCTAAGCATATATTGTATCAAAGTACGGGAAAATGCTTAATAAAAAAAATGATTTAGTACTCCTTTCACTCTTATCGAGATCTAAGATATATTCAGACAACTACAAATACTTTGACTGAAAAAAACCTTAGATGACATACTGGATAGGAAGTTTTAGAAAAGTGATATTTGAAACTAGATGGACAGTACAATTAGAAAAATATTTTTTTTTATACTGCCAACACTGATACTTACATTAGGAGTGAAGAGGTAAACTAAACCTTCAGTGGCTCCTGGTAGGGTGAGTCCACGAATAAGGAATATAGTTAGGACCAGATAAGGAAATATGGCTGTTACATAAATAGCCTAACAGGGAAATAAGAAAAGTGAGACAGAGACAACAGGATCAATAGAGGTTATTTTAGTTACTACAACATCTCATTCTAGTACAATTTTTTGAAGCAGCATATTCTAAATATAACTTTTTTTTCAGGAAGCAGAAAGACCATTTTGTTTTGTCATAAAATCCCTCCCTAAAATACATTTGGGGGTATCTACTCCAAGAATTAGGGTTTGAAAAAACATAATTGTTTTTAGAGTAACAGCCGTGTTAGTCTGTCTTTGCAAAAAGAAAAGGAGTACTTGTGGCACCTTAGAGACTAACCAATTTATTTGAGCATGAGCTTTCGTGAGCTACAGCTCACTTCATCGGATGCATACCGTGGAAACTGCAGTAGACATTATATACACACAGAGACCATGAAACAATACCCCCTCCCACCCCACTGTCCTGCTGGTAATAGCTTATCTAAAGTGACCACTCTCCCTACAATGTGCATGGTAATCAAGGTGGGTCATTTCCAGCACAGATCCAGGCTTTCTCACTCCCCCCGGGAAAACACACACACACACACACACACACGCATAAACATAAACTCACTCTCCTGCTGGCAATAGCTCATCCAAACTGACCACTCTCCAAGTTTAAATCCAAGTTTAACCAGAACGTCGGGGGCGGGGGGAGAGTAGGAAAAAGCAAGGGGAAATAGGCTACCTTGCATAAAGACTTAGCCACTCCCAGTCTCTATTTGCAAATTGGATAATTGGATACTATTAATTTAGGCTTAAACAGAGACTGGGAGTGGCTAAGTCATTATGCAAGGTAGCCTATTTCCCCTTGCTTTTTCCTACCCCCCCCCCCCCGACGTTCTGGTTAAACTTGGATTTAAACTTGGAGAGTGGTCAGTTTGGATGAGCTATTGCCAGCAGGAGAGTGAGTTTATACGTGTGTGTGTGTGTGTGTGTGTGTGTGTTCCCGGGGGTGGGGGGGAGTGAGAAAGCCTGGATCTGTGCTGGAAATGACCCACCTTGATTACCATGCACATTGTAGGGAGAGTGGTCACTTTGGATGAGCTATTACCAGCAGGAGAGTGAGTTTGTGTGTGTATGGGGGTGGGGGGGGGGGTGAGAGAACCTGGATTTGTGCTGGAAATGGCCCAACTTGATGATCACTTTAGATAAGCTATTACCAGCAGGACAGTGGGGTGGGAGGGGGTATTTTTTCATGGTCTCTGTGTGTATATAATGTCTACTGCAGTTTCCACGGTATGCATCCGATGAAGCGAGCTGTAGCTCACGAAAGCTCATGCTCAAATAAATTGGTTAGTCTCTAAGGTGCCACAAGTACTCCTTTTCTTTTTATAATTGTTTTTGTATTTCCCCTGAAGTTGAAATTCAGTACTTTAAGGACAAGAGACAGAGCAGCAAGTCAACTTTTCTAAGTGGTCTGCTCTCTATTTCCTCACCTTTCCTGTGGATTCAATTCCTCGAATGGTACAAATGTACACAATTGTCCAGCAAATGGCCAAGCACAAAACTAACCACCATTGTAAGTTGCCACTGTCAGTGATATCAGAGCTTATGTTTAAAGTTCTCCTGTACCAGAAATAATTTACTGCAGTACTTTCATGGCATTCTTCAATGTGTCCTAAAAAGAAAAGTATGACAAGTATTACTAAACTGTCAAGTGTGAAATTTAAACAATACCTCATTTCCCATGCACTGTGGGATCAGTAATTATGAAGCAACATTCTATATTATTCAAGAAAGGCAGCTATTCTGGAAACTTAAAATATTTAGTCAAGACTAAATGATCAAGGACTGAAATCCTCATCTGGGTAGTGTACAGAAGGAGGCAATACATCATTTTACAGCGACCCTATGGGACCAGTTATAAGCAGCCATGAGGAGCTATTCTACATTGCACATGGCAACAATCCCTGCCCAATGGGCTGTTTCAGCAGCTAGGGAATGACAGAGTGCAGAGGAGGCTATGCTCATGCCCCAACATATCCTCCTATGTAAGGGCTGTGAAGGGGAGACAGAATGCTGGTCATCCTTCCACTGGTGAATTCCCTTGTATTGAGGGACTCCTCAGCTGAAGACTGCTTTCAACTCACTTTGTGAAAGCCAGAATGGGAGCCATGGGACCCAATATTCAGCAGGTTTCAGAGTAGCAGCCGTGTTAGTCTGTATTCGCAAAAAGAAAAGGAATACTTGTGGCACCTTAGAGACTACCAAATGTATTTGAGCATAAGCTTTCATGAGCTACAGCTCACTTCATCGGATGCATTCAGTGGAAAATACAGTGGGGAGATCTTTTATTCAGTTTCCAAGTCTGCAGTCTTAGCTAGGGCAGCAGTAACCAAACTGTGGTCCACTAACTGCTGGTATTCTCCAGAGGTTTTTTACCAGTGGTCAGTCCTGTGGAATAGAGCTGGGCAAGTAACTGATTTTGTGGTTCACTGGCAGTTCCAAAAATGAAGAAAATTGGTTTGAGCAAAACTGAAATTCAGAATTTTTGGCAAATCAGAAGTGTTGACAAAAATTGTTTAAATGGAATGAAACATTTTATTGTGGGCTGTGTGTGTGTGTGTGTGTGAGAAAGCACAGGAAATGAAGAGCTAGATTGACAGGACAGAAGGAGGACATGATGGCATGTGCATTCACCCTTTTTCTGCCCTCCCCAATGGCTAGGGCATTCACCTGAGATACAGGAAACTCTGGAATAGGAACTTGAGTGAAGGTCTCCCCACCCCCACCCCCACCCCCTCAGGTGAGTGCACTAATCCCAGACTTGTAGGTATTCTGGGCTGGGTCTTTCTCTCTCTGTCTCTCCTGTTGAAGCCATTCTGCTTTGTGTCAAATACTTGAGTAGTCATTGGGCCAGAGAGATAATGACTATAGCCTACGGCAGTGATTTTCAAACTGGGGTGCATATATCCATAGGGGTGCATAAGCTCTCATTGGGGATACATGAGGAAAATCATGTAATGGCAGACAACACATTTTATTTAGACAGACTTGGCATCTAATCATAGGATCATAATATACCTATCTCAGATGGGGATATGCGGTAGACTACATCATTTGGAAAGGGATACACAGCCCAAAAAGTTTGAAAACCACTAGCCTAGGGCACTCACCTAGGAAGGAGAGACCCAAGTTCAAATCCCTGTTAGTGAGTAGGGATTCAACCTGGCATTTTCCACATTTTTCTCCTCAGGCACCATTCACAGAACAACCCAAATCCCTTTTTGAATATAGCCTCCCGCAATTATTTTTGTCTGAAACTGTTCCACTAATGTGTCAAATTCACAAATAGTTTTGGTTGAGCCAAACTGCATTTTTGGCAAAAACTTTTCTTCCAAAAAATTTGGCCCAGCTGTACTATGACGCCCTAGAGTCCCACATCAGTGTGGATGGCTGTAGAAGGTGAGAGGAATAGCTAACTGAGCAGCAACCAGTAGGGGCCACTATAAGAAACAATAACAGGGAATCATGACACCAGTCACCAGAAAACTGTTCCCTACCAGTAGTCAGGAGAGGGTACTAGTTAGGATATGTCAAGGTTCCTTCCCCACTCTGAACATTAGGGTACAGATGTGGGGACCTGCATGAAAGACCCCCTAAGCTTATTCTTACCAGCTTAGGTTAAAAACCTGATACGCTGCCACCACCAAGCGATTTAAACAAAGAACAGGGAAAGAGACCACTTGGTCTTTTCCCCAAAATCCCCCCAAGCTCTACACCCCCTTTGCTGAGGAAGGCTTGATAATAATATCCTCACTACTTGGTACAGGTGAACACAGACCCAAACCCTTGGATCTTAAGAACAATGAACCATCAATCAGGTTCTTAAAAGAATAATTTTATTTAAATAAAAGGTAAAAGAATCACCTCTATAAAACAAGGATGGTAAATACCTTACAGGGTAATCAGATTCAAAACATAGAGAATCCCTCTAGGCAAAACCTTAAGTTACAAAAAGACACAAACAGGAATACACATTCCCTCCAGCACAGCAAATATACAAACCAAAAAACAGAGAGAACCTAAGGCATTTTCTAGCTAGATTACTTACTAAATCTACAGGAGTTGTAAGGCTTGCATCCTTGATCTGTTCCCAGCAAAGGTATCACACAGACAAAAGCCTTTTTCCCCCCATCCAGATTTGAAAGAATCTTGTCCCCTCATTGGCCATTTTGGGTCAGGTGCCAGCATGGTTACCTTAGCTTCTTAACCCTTTACAGGTGAAGGATTTTGCCTCTGGCCAGGAGGGATTTTATAGCACTGTATACAGAAAGGTGGTTACCTTCCCTTTATTTTTGACAGGATCTGTTACAGATTACCAAATAAAATCAGAACAGGATTAGTTGCTGTATAGCCAATTAGGCATCTTACTGTAGGCCAGCTGCACTTGTTAGGTTGTCTGGAGGCTGGCTCTGCTGGTGTAGTCAAAATCCATGGTGGCTGGTACTGGGGAACTCATGGGAAAGTCTGGGTGGAAGTTGGGGTGAAAGCCATAGTTTGCAAAGAATTGGCTATGTTGGGTCAAGGCATGGATTGCATTGTTATATGCAAATTTGGCATTGCACAGCAGCAGAAGCCAGTTGGGTGGTAGCTCAAAAAGCAGTTAATGTACTGCTTCAAGACTTGATTGAGTCTGTATTTGCCCATTAGTCTGTGGGCGCTAGGCAGACAAAGTGAGGGACTTGATGCCTAGGAATCTAAGAAATTCCTGCCAGAATCAGATGAACTGGCAATACAATGCTAGTTGTTAACCTGTGATAACAGAAGGTATTTTCTAGGAAGAACTGAGCTGTCTCCCAGGAGGTAGGAACAGTACAGCACATGATGAAGTGCACCATCTTTGTTAGGAGCTCAACAATAACAAGGATTACTGAGTGTTCCTGGTTGTGTGGCAGTTCTACAGGGAAGTCTCTTGAAATGGACAGAGGCTGGAGGAGACCATACGGGATTTGATTGTGGGTTCTTGGTACAGGAACAGAAGTTGCAGGACCTCATGTAAGCTCGTAGGCTGGCCATCAGAAGCTTCTCCAGTCTAGATTTCAGATTTTGAATTAGCCAGAATGTACAACAAGTGGTGAATTGTGACATAGTTTCAATACTTGAGCTTTGGTTATCCCTCTGGACCATAAAGACAACCCTTATGATAGGAGGCCATTCTGTCATCAGAATTCTGGGTTGGGTGTCTGCATCATTCAGTGTCTGGCAGATGTGGATCACAGGCAGTGGATGGAAGACAGATTGAGTGTCCTGTTGACAAAGTTGAACATGTTGGCAGAGGACTTTTTGCCGGGTTTGAGATAATCATCATTGTGAGATAGGGCATGTGCCTTCAAGTTGCTCATCCCAAGGCAATAGGTTACAACAAAATCTAAGTGAGCCAAAAAGAGGGACCAGCAGATCTGAATTGACTAAGGTTTTTAGCAGTCAGTAGATATTCTAGGCTCTTATGGACTGTCAGAACTTGGACTGGGAATGTCCCCTTCTAGGAGGTGGCATTAATCAAAAGATGCCATGAGCTCCGTGTCCCAAATATCATATTTTTCTCTGCTGGGGTTATTTTCAAATAATAATCACAGGGTAGAATTGGTTGTGGAGGCCCATGTTTTGAGATCAAACTTTGCTGTAGGTGCAGTATTAAGTGTCTGCCTTGATTGCAAATTGTTTAGTGGTATCTGGGTGATTCAGGGTAGGTGCTAAAGTGAATGCCCTCTTTAGTTAATCAAAGGCCAACTGAGCCTCCATGGACCAGGTGAACTGGGTCCCCTTTTTCAGGACTGCCGTTATGGATGCAACCAGGCTACAGAATCCTTCAATAAATTGCTGGTAGAAATTGCCAACCCCCAGGAATTGCTGCATCCCACATACATCCTTGGATGTTGTCCAGTCAGATGTTGTCACCACTTCACACAGGTCTATCATGAGTCCCTCAGGTGGGATGATATATCCCAAGAATTCCATGGTGTCCTTATTGAATTCAAATTTCTTGAGCATTGTGTAGAGGTGTTGTGTTTTTTTGGCAGAGTCTCTCCAAGACAATGTGCATATGATGATTGTGGAGGTCCTGACTTTCAGAGACAATCAGAATGTCATCCAGGTGAATGAAGGCAAATTGCTCTGGCATGTCCCTAAAGGTGTCCTTTATGGAGTGCTGGAAAGTCACCAGGGTGTTGCAAAATCCAAACAGCATGACCAAATACTCCAACTGGCCAACCTGGTATGGAAGGCTGTCTTCCATTAATCTGCTTTCCTTGGGTTATAAGCTCCATGGAGGTCCAACTTTGTGAAGACCTTGGTGGAGTGGAGTCTTTTGAACAACTCATTAATAAGTGGTTACGGGTACCAGTTTCAGAATGTAATCTTGTTCAGCACTCTCTAGTCCACACAAGGCTGGAGGGAGCCGCCTTTCTTCTTACAAAGACTTTTAAGCCCCCCGCTGGGGATGTGGAGAGGCCAATGAACCCCTTCTGCAGGTTTTCCTCTAGATTGGGTTTAGAGGGAGTAAATGCACCCAAATGGAACCTTTGCTCCTGGCTGGAGGTCATTGAGGCAGTCATAGCTGTGTTAAGGCAGTGCAGGTCAGCTTTCTTTTTGCTCAATATGTTAAATAGCAATTGT